CAGTAAGAGTCTGACACGCTTCTCATGCATGAGGGTGCGGGTTCGAAATCTACCAACGGCAAGTACCAATGTGACTAGTTCCAAGTTATATGTACTTTCTAAGATTATTTAGACACCACTGACAAACGGTAAAGGAAAACATCGTGAGGAAACCTGGGCTTATAATTTCTATATATAAGTTTGTAATCACCAACCTGCATTGAGCAAGCATGGCGATTATTGCTCACACCTTCTCCTTGCGAGAAGAGGCCACTTATAGGCTGTTGATGTCAAAATTTTAAGTACCTGCGCTCCAAACTAGACTACGGCACTATACATGCAGTGCATAAATTGATTGTCTCTGTGTAAACACGATTGTCTGTTATATAGGACTTATTGCCGGTTCTTCAGGGCCCCCTGGAAATGGGGACCATGGGCACCGAATGCCCTTAGGGGCCGCCGTTTCATGACCCGTATAGTTAAGTGACATTTATGTCGTAATTTGTGTCTTAGTCTATTCGTAACATTATAATGAACACAAAATGCTAAAAACATTGTTCTACTAATATTATAAATGAAAAAATAAATCTAAATCTAAACTAAAGACTGCCTCGTTGACCTAATGGTCGCAAATTTGACTGCCGAGCAAGAGGTCTGCGTTCAATTCCCCGAGTCGGCCGAAGTATTACTGGGGTTTTTAAAAAATCTCATTAGTAGCACGGAGTCTGGAATTTTGCCCTGTATTAGCATAATAGGCACACCCCCTATTACATGGGACTCACAACATAAATAGTGAAAAGTGGGTGGTACATTGTACAGTGGCATTAAGTGCCGTAATGTGCACCTCTGTCTACCCCTTCGGGGATAAAAGGCGTGATGTTATGTTATTTAATAGTGATAGATGCACGAGTTGACCTGACTGCCTCGTTGGCCGAGTGGTCACAATTGCGACTGCCGAGCAAGGGGTCTCGGGTTCGATTCCCAGGTCGGGCAAAGTATTACTGGGTTTTAAAAAAATTCTCAGTAGTAGCACGGAACCTGGAACTGTGCCTGGTATATGGCAATAGGCTCACCCCCTATTACATGGGACTCATAACATAAATAGTGAAAAGTGGGTGGTACATTGTACAGTGGCATTAAATGCCGTAATGTGCACCACTACCTATCCCTTCGGGGATAAAAGGCGTGATGTTATGTTATTTAATAGTGATAGATGCACGAGTTAAATAAAAATACCTTGAGTAACAAAAAATACTTATTTAATTTGATATATTATGATACATACAATACAATTACGTAATTATAATTATTCCACTTAAAAATAACAATAATACAATATCTAAAATTTTAAATTTTAGTCAAAAATCTAACACAGTATGGAACGCTCTCGAAAACCTACGCCATGTGATGGTAAAAACAAGTTTAATTATTTTTATAGCATAAGCCGGTAAACGAGCTGACGGATCACCTGATGGTAAGCAATCGGCGTCGCCCATGAACACCTGGAACACCAGAGGCGTTACAAGTGCTTTACCGGCCTTTTGAGGACTAGGAATTTGAGGATTGTAGATGATTCGGGGATTGGGGACACTGGGGGGTATTTGGGCCTCCGGTAACCTCACTCACACGACGAAACACAACGCAAGCGTTGCTTCACGTCGGTTTTCTGTGAGGCCGTGGGATCACTTGGGTTGAGACGGCTCAGTAGTGCCGAAGCATGGCTCTCCCGCACTTATTTTCGTAAAAGTAGGGATTTCAATGTTTCTTTTCTAATATTCTTATACTATTTATAGTATAAAGCGGAAGAGTTTGTTTTTTTGTTTGTTTGTTTGTTTGAACGCGCTAATCTCCGTAACTACAAGTCTGATTTGAATAATTCTCTTTGTGTTGGATAGCGCATTTATCGAGGATGGCTATAGGCTATAAAACATCACGCTACGACCCATAGGAGCAGATCAGAGCGGGTGAAACCGCGGGCAAGTAGCTAGTGTGTAGTAAAAGTTGTGATCAACTGGTAAATGCTGATGTTGCATGAATAACACGAAAACAAATACGATAAAAATTGTAAAAAAATATTGTTGTCTTATTTCAGAGCGTTCCGTTTACTCTCTATATAATAAAAATAAAAATTATACAATTTTTACACTTTTTATAATAACTATCGTGAGACATACTAAATTAACTAAAATCGCGGGTTCCTCACGTGAACTTTGTGCCGAACCCGGATACGAATCCACTACCCGCGCCGCTGGTGAAAGTACCGTGCGCTTTAACATCGTCCAACGCGCCGCCGGAGTTGGAAGCAAACGCTTGCAGTGTCCGACAGAGGGCGCGTTGAGCTCGCAGCGCGAGTATCAACACCGAGGCGACCCCACACGCTGCTCATGAGGAAGAACCCCTCTGTGGTTCGAAACTAGTAGAGCTTTTCTCAGTATATTCACGTGAGTAACGCGCGATTTTAGTTAATTTTACACATATTTTAAAATTACAACATTTCAACGACCTAATCGATATCCAGATTCAATCCATTCTTCCAGATTCTGAGAGATTCTGGTATTTCCATCTTGTCTGGAATCTTCTCGAATGGGTAGTTCTGGTAGTCTTGCCAGAAGAATGGGCGGACTGTCCGGAAGCCATTGTCGAATTTGGCTAGAGTTTCCATGTCACCCTTGTCCAATTCGAAGTCGAAAATGGATGCATTCTCTACGACGCGGGATGGAGTCACCGTTTTCGGGATGCTGACTATCCCGCGTTGGTACTGGAAAAAAATAAAGGTGGTTAAGTATTTGTTATTTATGGTATCGTTGGTTTTTTTGAGAGGGCAAAATTATCCAATGACTTATCCCGCCTTGGGTTAGGCGAGAGGGAGTGTCAGACTCTTACTGACTAAAAACCACCTCGTTCCTACTTTTGCTACGAACCGGAGCCCCGGCAACCCGTTAGGCTTTCCGGGGCTCCGTATCGGGTATCAGCCCTATTGGGCCCAATCTGTGGTAGTCTGATGGCTCACGCGGAACGCTCGGCACCGCATGCGCGGGTTTGGTTTAGGTCGGGCTACCTTTGCTCGCCCTCTGCAGACCCGCTCATACGGTGGCCGGAGATTTTCGCGCGATCCCCGGTGCCAGGATTGTCTCCTGCGACAGCTGGGGCGTAAGGAGGTTCGTTACCTCACGCCCTAGTCTCGTCCTTAGCTAGCATATGGCATTGTTTGTTGGGTTGTTTATGGGGTAGGTAGAACACATTATTTTATGCATAACGATCATTTAAAGTTTTCAGTGTTTTCCTACTCTATTCTGTAGCTGTCAAATTCAAACTCTCGAAGTGAGTTCGATCGCATTCACGTCTGTCATCCGGCCGGCCGGTCCGCCATCGAAATTATTCTCACGACCAATGACATGGCGGACCGCGATCGACCTCACTTCGATCTTCAGAATTCAAAGTTACATAATAGCCTAACTGGATTCATATTTAAAATATCACCCATTTTTTGTCAGTTTAGAATTTATTATTTAAAAAAAAAACTCCTAATCAAAGTTAAAATTTTTTGCAAAATCCAATTTCTGTTTATCACACCCATATTACAATATGACATTCCAGTATGACCCTTTTCAAAATACCCTAATGGGTATTTTTGGTAGGTAATCCTACATAACGAAAAAAAAAAATCCAGAAAATACTCACTAAATATCTCAAAGTGACTTGAGTAACAGATTTCCCATACTTCTTTCCGATAGCGACCATAGTGGGGTTGTTGAGCTTCGGTTCGGGTGAGTTGGGGGCGCTGCGAGATGGTACCATAGTGCCGAAGGGGGAGTAGGCTACAATCAGCACATTGTTGGCTTGACAGTAGTCTACTAACTCCTTCTGACCCAGGTTCAGGTTTATCTGTGGAGAAATATTAAAAAAAAACCTTAGTCATCACATTACTTTCAGCTAGGATACTTAGATAAGCTGCCATTGTCAGGACATGAGGGGATTGATCATAGAAGTTCTTTCTTCTTTGAAATTTTTTGTTTGATTTTCAAAATGGCTTTTTGGTCTAATTGAAATAAATGATTTTAACTTTATCCTTAGTTGTTGTTAGACTTGGCAAGCGACTTGGCGATTGCAGTTAATCTCAACAAGGGGAAACTGCTGCCTTCTCTTCAGTGGCAGATCGCAGTTTTAGGGTTTATCTTAATTCTGAGTCACACAGAGTGACCATTTTCTAAAGTTATTCAATGTTGTTGGAAATCTTTTTGACAAATCAAGAATATAATTAAGCAATCATACTCGAAATAGTTATTTATTTTAATTCGGGTAACCAACAGCTATATTACAAAGAATAAATTTCAGGATATGCTAATACAAAGCCAATTATAGGTTTCCACGGCTAGCTATAATTAACTTTTTCAAGTTTCCTACCAACGAAGCAAATGACTTAAACTAAACTAAGTATTTGAGTTAAAACCCACAGGACTTTATTCTACACGCGCGCCATCTACTTTGCGCAAAAATAAAATGGAACTACATCAACTTACCTCAACCTGGTTGGTGGAAGGTGGAACCTTGCAGTTAGCCAGGAGTCTCTTCATCTGTTCCACATTGAAGTTGGACACTCCAATGGACTTGGCGAGACCTTTGCTCAGCACGGACTCGAACCCACGCCAGGTTTCTAGGTAGTCGATCTTTTCGTCTACTCCGTCTTGCTGGAAATTTTGGAAGAAGAAGATTATTATAGTCCCATGGACTTCATGGAAAAGGGATGAAACTGAAATAGAATTTTGAAACCATGCCATATTAAGTGTGGGAGAGCCATGCTTCGGCACGAATGAGCCGGTTCGACCGGAGTGATACCACCAACGAGCAGAAAACCATAGTGAAACAACCACAGCATTGTGTTTCGTCGTGTGAGTGAGGTTAACGGAGGCCTAATTACCCCCCACCACCTCTCTCCCTACTTCTCCAATCTTCCCTATCCATGAAACCGCAACATCTCTCCTTTTTCCTATTTTAAGATTAAGAGCCACGCCTCGGCATGAATGGGCCGGCTTGACTGAAGTGATATTCCCCCACTGAATCCCAAGAATCCTCAAATTCCTATTCTCCAAAAGGCCGGTAACGCTCTTGTAACGTCTTTGGCGTTTCAGATGTCCATGGATGAGGCCGATTGCTTACCATCAGGTGATCTGTTTGCTCGTTTACCGACTTATCCCATAAAAAAACGAAATCAGAAAATTTCTGAAATGATTTTCCCATCGACAGAAACAAACCTGAAACCCCACCTCTACCTACCATTATGTACTCCAAAAGCAAAAAATCGGACTTAGGAACTGAGTTAATGTTCAGCAGTCACTTTTGGTGACTACGACTGCAAAAATCTTAGAAGATCTAAGAGACCTTAACTATGTCTAATCAAATCTAGATGTTACTTACAGAGATAGACATAGGCCAATGCATAAGTACTAGGTCGACGTAGTCCAGGTTGAGACGACGTAGCGAGCCTCGCACTGATACTTCAACATCAGCCTCGCGGTGGAAGTGGTGCCAGACCTGGAAACACAAGATTGAGAGGTTGAAGACGTTTGAGAATGCAGAATTTCACTAAAAAGTGGAGTGCTACCACGGCCTCACAGAAAACCGACGTGAAGCAACGCTTGCGTTGTGTTTCGTCGTGTAAGTGAGGTTACCGGAGGCCCGATTACCTTCCCCTTCCCCAATCCCTGAATCCCCAACGATCCTCAAACTCCTAATCTCCAAAAAGCCGGTGACGTACTTGTAACGCCTCTGGTGTTCCAGGTGTCCATGGGCGACGCCGATTGCTTACCATCAGGTGATCGTTTACCGGCTTATGCCATAAAAAAAAGTTTGTATGCTTAGATGTTTGTATATTTGTGACTCCATCGCGTCAAAACGGTTGAAGGGAACGAGATGAAAAATGGAATAAGGATAGATTATGGTCGGTATAATAGACAGGCCATGGAAACCCGGGCAAAACCGCTGGTAGAAGCTAGTAAACTATATAAAACTTACCTTAGTAGTAATAAACAAATCTTCCCTCTTCACAACGCCATCTTTGATTTTCTTGTCTATGATCTTGCCGACTTCCGGCTCCACTCTATAGAGGTGGGCGGTGTCTATGTGCCTATATCCGATGTCAATGGCGTAGGAAAGAGCGTCCATCATTTTTGGCATGCCTTCAGCGCTGAATTCAAACTGAAATTGTCAGTAATTTTTTATTAGATTGACAGAAATATGAATGTCAAAAAGTAATGCTTACCTTTTGAAATAGATTTTGTTTTTAATTTTGCTTAACACAAAGCCGGAATTTATTTCGAGGTGGCCCAGAGGTTTAAGACGCCCGCTTCTCATGCATGAGGGTGCAGGCTCGAAACCTACCAATGGCAAGTACCAATGTGACTTTTTCCGAGATATATGTATTATCTAAGATTATCTAGACACCACTGACAAATGATGAAGGAAAACATCGTAAGGAAACCTGAACTTAAAATTTCTAACTATAAGTTTGTAATCGCCAACCCACATTGAGGAAGCGTAGTGATTAATGCTCTAACCTTCTTCGTGTGAGAAGAGGCTTTGCTCAGCAGTGGGCATTTATATCCTGTTGTTGAGAGGTGGAATAAATCTAGAGAGTGGCCTAGGCAAGCTTTTCATAGGCGTCCCCAAAGTTTTTGGTGTCATCGTCACTCTCTGGGCAGTTGGGCACACGACTCCCGGTACCCATCTGTAACTTAGCGCTTTAGTCACTTGCCTAGTCTGCCTAACGGATACTACGGCTTTGGCTATACAATTAAATTAACTAACACAAAAGCAACCACTTAAGAATCTTACCATTAAAACAGTCAGATTTTAATCAAGACCACGGGGGCTTACTCTTGAATCCAATTCCGATCGATCGACATTGGTATTGTGAAATTTCGTACTCTTGACCTTGAGTTGCAACACTAGCGCCCATTGCATCCGTATTGCGTGAATATTGAAGGAAACTAAATGGTATCGAGTTTGGCTTTATATTCTGGGCCTTAAACCAAACGCCACTTTAGCGCTTGTCTACAGAGAGAGTAGAAATCAAAATGTATGGGGATGACACTGACAAGTGTCAAAATTTACGTCAATTCCATATAATTTGGTTTTCTATTCTACATGTAGACAAGCGCTAAATGGCATTTGGCTACAGATTCTGTACTCTGAATGCTATTTTAATAGCTGGGGTTGTATAGTGTTGACATTGAATAATTATTGAGATTTTATTGGATTGAAATTGCATCGACATTGAGATTGGTTTCAAGAGTAAGCACCCAGGGTTGTCCGTGTGGGCTCTATGGTTGTACTCAAGAGTACGAAATTTCACAATACCAATGTCGATCGATCGGAATTGGATTCAAGAGTAAACCCCTGATCTAGACTATAAACTGTATCGAATTGAGCTTACTTCACAATAAATAGACATTAAACCAACAAAAAGAACAAATAAGGTGACCTTATGACTATACCTCAACCAACAACCACATGTTATTTTTTAAACTATTACAAATGTTTTTTTTTTAGCAAATGGCAAATCTATCACCGAAATCCAAATACATTTCCAGAATATCTCAAACGAAATAATTATCGAGTAAATTCGGGTTATTATGACCCGCTGGGGTAACTTTAATACAAATCCTATAACCAATAGGAATCCAGAATGAATATTCGTATATGGTAAAACGGGGTGTATAGAATTCGAGGGGTGTTTAGAGAACAGAGAGTATAGTTCCCTAAGATCGGAAAAGAAGGATCCTCCGACCAGGCGAGGTGATCGTGCCTGGCGGGCTTTCTGCCCAACAGTTGTTCGTTGGGATTTTCTACTCATGTTAATTCGATTGTAAACTTCGCATGTGCGATGTACAATTTTATGACGTCGACTTGTGACATGTGTCGCCACAAGTGAAGAGATGCAGAAGAGGGGTGAGTAATTGTTGGGGAAATATTCTAACACTTATTCACCCCATTCCTGTATCTATTCACCCCTCGAATTCTATTCACCCCGTTTTACGGTAATATATTTTTTATTTGGTCTAAAAGTTTGGATCCAGTTTCACAGACAGTCAGACGGACGGACAATTAAATTTATGACGTTTCAAAAGTGCATAATTAAGGATAAATTGAAATAAATGCTTTGACTTTGTCATAGACTTTGAATTACGGGTCAAAATTACCCTGTAGTAGGGTCAAAGAAACCCGATATTACGGTATGAAACAAATAAAATTCTATCCCAGACTCCACACACTGAAATTAAGAACTTGGAAATTATAATATCGTACCTCCGGTGCAATAGCACCGGTGTAATAACATCACTTATGTACTGCGGGGGCCCGCGCGCAACTGAACAATGAAACGTTGTTTCTCCTAGCCAGATTAGCGCCAAAACCGTAACGACAGTAATGCCCTCACAATGTCAGTTTGCTTACTACACAAGTGACAATAACGCACCAAGTAAAGAGGTGAATTTGGAGTAGTCTTTCATAATCAGTTAAGGTTTGACAAAAATTATGAACATGGAACAATAAACATATACAGACATCCTCCACCGACATGAACACATACATAAAAACCACTCAAATTGTCCGTTAATTTATACTAACCGAAAAAGGTTTGCTTGGACCAGCATCCTCCTATGTAGAAACAAAATTAAATACATGCTTTAGAATTGGGATGGTGACAGGGTATAAAAATTTAAAATGTAAAAGTTAGGTAATGAAAAAATATTAGACACGTATTTTTTTTATTTTGACGTATAATAAAACAATATTTAGTTAAAACGAATCAAAGGAGTGGGGACTAAAACGTCATTTCTACGTATAAAATGTATCTACATAGAAGTGACGTCACGCGACATTTCAAATCGATATATCGTCGGAAGTATTCGTTTCTGTAAAAAAATAAAAAATACGAGTCTAATGATTTAAAATAATCTACCAGACGGACATTAAAATAAAAATTTGGCATCTACCTTATTTTTAGATTTATGTCCAAATACTCAAACGACACTCAATTTTGAGTCTAGTATAGTTCTGTCTCTATGAATTCTTTGTAGAATGACAGAGATGGCACGATATATGTACACACAGTCACATATCAATCTATTCAAAACCAGTTTATCCTGGTGTCGCGTCGCGTCATCTTACCGCACATTTAACGTTCAGTTTATACTGGTTATGTAAAGCTCGATGTGTAGCAGGGTGTACAATTCAAAATTCAGTAGTCTTTCAGTATTCGGGCGATAGATACATATTAGTTTAACAATACGTCTCGAAGTAGAAGGAACGAGGTGGTGTTTAGTCAGTAAGAGCCTGACACTCCCTCCCGCCTCATCCAGGCGGGAGCAGTCATTCGATGATTTCCCACCTCAAATAAAAAGGTACCCAAAAACAACAGCATACAACAATATAAAATAACGCCTTTTTATCCCCAAAGGGGTAGGCAAAGGTGCATATTACGGCACTTAATGCCACTGTACAATGTAACACCCACTTTTCACTATTTATCGTACAAGTCTCATGTAATAGGGGGTGAGCCTATTGACATATACCAGGCACAATTCCAGACTCCGTGCTACTACTGAGATTTATTGAAAAAACCCAGTAATACTTTTCCCGACCCGGGAATCGAACCCGAGACCCCTTGCCCGGCAGTCGCACTTGCGACTACTCGGCCAACGAGGCAGACAATAATGTACCCAATACCGAAATGTGACGTCATATTACCTTTTCGTCCATGCCCAGCCAGGTGCCATATCCCAGCGCTGGAATCTTGGTTCCATCGTTTAAGGTAAAAGACGGAATATTTACCTGAAATCAAATATCACATGTTTAATAATTGGAAATTATTTATAACATCACTAGCAAACCCGGCGGTTCTTTGCTGTAGACCTCACGGAGCCGAGACCTTTCCGACGAATGCAAAACCATGGAAATCAGTTCGTGCGTTCTGGAGTTACAGCGTCGGGAAGGAAAAGCCAACTTATTTTTATATAGGTAGTAGTTAGTTTTAGTCATACGCTGAAATAATCAAAGGCCACTAATTTTAAGTCGCGCTTAAGCATAGTTCTGTCTCTATAAGTTCTTTCTAAAATGACAGAGATGTCACGATAATTAGGTACAACTTATAATTTAGTAGCCTTTCAGTATTCAGGCGATAGTCAGCTATACGTGTCATGGTGGCCTGGAGGTTTAAGATGCCCGCTTCACATGCGGTGCGGGTCCGAAACCTACCAACCAGGGACTGAAAGCGGTTAAGGTATAACGGTACGGTACCGGTATAAAATAAGTGTACCGAAATTAAAGCTATACCGGTATTTAACCTTTATGCGATAACGGTACCGAAAAACTTAGATTTGACCGTTGCGGGACGTAAAGCTAGGAGTGTGCGGGGTGTGGTGCGAGGGGCCCCACGCCTCGGAGTGGAGCAGCGGCAAGCGAAAAACGCGCGCCTGTGTACCTGTTTATTCGTGTCACTGCTGCAACTAAACTACGCTACCGTTGTATGATTTGTGTGTACCGTACCTATCTAATAACTATATAATAGTCGTGTAACTATTAACTATGAGGCGGAAACGTAAAAATGCAGTATATGGATTGAGATATAAGTACTAATGAGTACATGCGTTTTTTTCATTTTCCAAGGAAAGTAATGTTTCTACATATTTAGTAACTGGATGCTTAGCTATAATAAAATAAGTATTGTACCCATTCATTGTAAACTTTGACCGGTCAGTGAGTATAGATGCAATATAGGTACTACTTATACAACCTATACCCTAAATGTAATTGGTAGGTATGTACATAATTATCTATCTTGTAGCTATAAGATACCTAACTATAACATTTATCTTATTATTCGGTACGTACCTATCTAAACTTTCGGATATCCTAGGTAGGTGTGTACCTAAGAACATCGTAATGTTTGTTTACTTATATTACATACCTACATAAAACCAGTCATTGGGTATCGTTCGTTAGGGTAGGTACTTACCTAAACTTTGATTATTTACTAGGTATATATAATATTATGTTCATAAGATGAATAGGATTAGGTACCTACCTTGGAATTTTAACTACAATTATTATATAATACAAATTATACAAGCCCAAACACAAGGTAGTTACTATAAACCGTTGATGAGTTCCCTTAACAATTACAGTTCTTCATCATCAGACC